CTGTGCCTCAGTCCTTAATGTGCCTGTTTGAAAAAGGTGTTGCATAAATCAATGACGTGGGGGGAGGTAGTAATTTCATTATCCAATGTAAGCCCCAGTAAACTAAATACATCTGTAGTTCAGTCCTCTTAGCCTTGAATCTGCTTCACAGACTTTCTGAGTGCCGATGGTCTCAACCAGCTTTGAGGGCCAGCTTGTACAACATGAAGTGCTCTGTATTCTGCCTATACGAATGGCCTCCTTTTCCAACAGAGCTGTTGTCCCTGACTCAACATTTCACCTTTAAGGTCCTCCTGTCTCACAGGGTTCCCAGGTGCTTGAAAGGACCTATTGCAGGAAAGATGAGGAGTACCACCCTGTGGTGTTGGGTGCAGCCCTTTATAGAGCTAGATTATGATGTAGTATTGTGTAGTAAGTCAAAACAAATCTGCTATAAAAATGCAAATGGTAACTGCAACAACCACGTCTCTCCCTTAGGCGTGATATTGAGATCCACATCCATGCAACAGAAATTCTAAGCTCTTAATATCTGTTTTGTCATGGTAGTGCCATATTAGATAATTTTCTGACCCCAGTCATCTCCATAAGCCATGAAGCATGTTCCCCATTAAATGTCTTTTTCCGTGACCTATTTACTGCATATATTTGCTTATACAGTTGCATAGATGTATGTCCTGCCCTCTTTCCACTGTAGAAAAGGGGCTGAGATTTTTATGATCATGAGCTACATGCATTTGGCAGAAGAGCTGACTGCTTGGTTTTGTTGGAAACATTGCATTAACCCCTTTATTCTTTCCCCCCCCCCCTCCCCGTTTGCTTTTTGTGGCTCACTCTCTCTCACCTTGACAGTCAGCCCGTGGGTTACATTCACATCAGTGAGCTGTGCAAACGCAAGATCCCACTGTACGCAGGGCCTTACCATACACCATTTTAAGTAAGTGGGAGCATACTTGGGTCCACAGGGCCCTATCTAAATCCTTTGGAAATCAGCATTTCAGCTGACTGCAGCAGTCTTGAGACTCAGCCCACGGTCCAGGCATAGAACTGAGAGCCAGAAATACTCAGATTTTCTGAGTCTACCGCTGATGCCAACTCCCTGTGGAAATTGAGCAGCGGGTGATTTGCCCCAGATACATAAAATATGCTGAGCCTTAACAGCTCTTAATGATTTCAGGCCGTTAATTTAGTTGCCCCCATTTCAGTGGGACTAATTCTTGCTGCTTCCTGCCATGAGGATGATTTTTCTTATTCTGAAGTTTGGGGTGTGTAAAGCACTGGAAGGCGAGTGCTCACACAGTACCTGCATTGTAGGGAAAAAGATCTCTGGGCAGAGAAGTAATCAGATGCAGAACTCGGTGTGCAAAGGCCCTGATAATGCTGCCTAATTAGTAATTACAAGAGAAGAGGTCTCCTCCATTGCGGTGGTCATAACACTGGTGCTATTACCCATGGTGGACACTGAATTCTCTGGTTGCTGCATGTTGCTTTGAATCAGAGCCAGACGCCCCCTGAAACTTGTTTAATTGTAAAAATGGCTGTGAAATGCCACATTGGGTTTGTAGTGATCCTAAAATTACAGAAGCTCCTCTCTTAATTCCTAGAGCTTGATTGTAGTCGTATTCCTCTGCGTGCCCCCCCCTTCAATCTAGTTCCTTCCTACTTAATTAAACCTGTCATCTTGCTTCATTTTAAAGAGCATGTACAGGTGCAAAAATAAATATGCTAAGTACCCCAAAGAGACCCCTGTTACGGGAAGCTGTAAGATGGAAAAGTGAATCCAAACATAACAAGCAGCCCTTGGGAATCTATTCTTTATACAGGTGTGACATGCAGCTTTGTAACGCTAAATCCTGAGATGTTAATGGTGCATCTTGCCCCTGTGCAAAGCCTAATATCACCTGGCTTAGGTGGTTGAAATAAGAGGGGCTGGCCCTCTGGGCTGAAGAGGACTTCACCCACAGCCTTCCCAAACCCAAGCTGTCAGAAGAAATTACGTACTGCACCCAGGCCCATGAAAAAAATCATCAGATTTACCAAATGTATCTGGATGTACTTGGATTTTGAATGGGTTAGGGTTCATATGTGCAAGACTTCATGGCTGTGCAGAAAGGCTAGACACTTGCCATTTCTTTCTTAGTGAAAGCTGAGATTCTTCTGTGAGACGCCAGGGAGACAGTGCTTTTATTAAAATTACAACTGCAAGACTCAGGATTAAAATAACAAAAGAGCTGGCAACCTTGCCCCTAGCAGGAGAACACTTTTTAACTATTGTGTTACTACTTAAAATACATCTGCAAAGGTCTGACCCCAACCCCCTGGAAACTAGGAATGGATTTCAGCGATGCTTTGAAATGGGCTTGAAATCCATAGAAGGAGAAAACCCTGTCTGATATCAATGTGATCACGAGGAGCGGGGAGGTCAGGCAATAATAGTCGAGACTCAAAAACTGTTTGATTTTAATGTGCCCTGATTTCTCACAAAGTGTTGGACGCCTGTCTAAGAACCGCAACATTTTTAGGGCATATCAAGCGAGGCAACCAAAGCCACTAGTTACACTCAAGGTTTGTGGCCAGAGCTTATTGGAAGTGTTGGTGAATTACCAGCCGTCTCTTCTTATCTTCCTCCTCTCCCTCATCCCCATGAGACCTGAGGGCAATAATAACTTCCTTTGATTCACCGTGCCATTAACTGTCTGTTATTCTGCTGAGCTAGCTGTGTTTGGTTGCATGACAGACAACTTGCTTCCCTGCTTTCCTTCCATCTGCCAGTTGCAACTGCAGTTTATTTGCTTTACCTGCAAAGCATATGATATGTTGAGAAAAGATGTAATGAAATCAGTGAGAGTCCTTGGAGTGCACTTGAATTGATTTATTAATTTGCCAGCCAACCGTACAATATCTATTAGAGCTCCAGGCAGGAACCTGCACTGAATGCTATTTTGACTCTTCTTTTTGCCTCCTCCCAGCTGTCTTAAAGTGGTTTGTTTTGTTTTTGTAGGGGGTTTTTTGGTGCTGGGGGTGATCTTCCTAACTCAGGATGTGCTTGGGTGACAAGTGGCACAAGGGTTGTGCTTGCCAGCTGGATTGCTGTTCTGTTTTTGGCTCCTGTCTGACTGACGGCTGTTGTCTGTCCCTGCGACTGTGTTGGAATGAGCGCGGTCAGCCCCATGGGACGTGTATTCCCAAGCACGAGTCGTTTTGGTGATGTCAAACGGTGCCTTATGTTGTCTTTCCCTCCCTCCAAGTTCTGACTTACTGGAAACCACTTCCACCAGCTGAGTGGGGAGAGGAGTCGCGGTGACTCGAAAGTTTAGGTTGGATATTAGGAAAAACTGTCTCACTAGGAGGGCAGTAAAGTACTGGAACAGGTCGTCCAGAGGGTGGTGGAGCCCCCATCCCCTGGCTCGACAAAGCCTTGGCTGGGATGATGTAGTTGGGGCTGGTCCTGCTTGGAGCTGGGGGTTGGGCTAGATGCAACCTCACTTTCTATCGTTCCAGCTCTTGGCACCCCAGCTGTGATGTTGGCTCCTGTTTAGCAGACTTGGATTCGGGCCACCAAACTTGACCCAAATAGAGCTGACCGGACAATTAGGGGGAAGGCTTTCAAAGGAACAAAGAACTGTTAAGTGCCTAATGCCCAGGGGCCCTGTTGAAAAACTTCTGGACTGCAGTGATTGTATTCTCCATCAGATGCAGTCCCGGGGTCTTGCTGTTCTGGGCACGTGTTTCTGAGCTACCAGCAGAGACAATGCAGCAGTCGCCCCCGGGGTGCATTTTAAGCTATTGGTGTGTCTGCTCTCAGTAGGTAGGAGTGTGCGGCATATTCCCTCTGCTTACTCTCTGACCTGTACCGCTTGCTTCCAGAAAGAGACAGTCTGCTGGGCACTGTTGCAATGAAAGTAAACTGAGATCAGCCAAAGAACTCTTTTTGCTTTGAGCTTCTAATTCTTTCTTCCCATGAGGGCCTGAATTTACAAAAACCAAGGAACCACTCAGCCAAGCCAGCGGCTTCTCAGGAGCCACAAAATGTGCCTCTTGGGTATTTATCTTTTCTGAACTGGAGGCTAAAAAGGTGAGGCATAGAGCTGGGACCTGCTTTCCAATGAATAAGGACCCTGTCTTTTTTTTCCTCTGGGAGATAATGTTGATCTTAACACGGTGGTTGCTCAGGCTACTTTTCTAATGCTCGGTGTCTCTCTCAAACACCCATTCTTCGGGCATCTTGGGATGTGGCAAGCCCCAGTGAGCCTCCCTGCTCCAAAGGAGTCTCAAATAAAATTTAAATGACTTTGTCCTGTGTCGATCAATCACAGTGCTGGCACAGGGCTACTTTCCAAAGGCTTGGTATCTCTAAAATGCCTCTTCCGCAAGAACTGTGGCGAGGGTTGCAAGTGCTCATTAGCCTCCCCACTGATGCTGGAAAGGCATCTCAAGGGTGGAGTGATCAGCCCGAAGTATGTCAATGGGGATGGAGCTGGGGCGGGGTTGTGGCCCTGGATGCGCTGAGCAACTGCGTACGGGGGAGGCAGGACAGGGGGACGTGCTGAATGTAGTCTGCTGCAGCAGTAAAACCCTAGAGCAGCTCTGCTCGACTTGGATGCGGTTAGTTCTGCCTCTTACACTGGAAATATTTTGCTCGGAGCTGGCTCTGGACATGCTGGCTGGAAGCAGAGCTGCTGTAGGCGGTGGAGGTGTCCGGAGCTAAACTAACACTAACAGCTTCCCTACCACTGGCCCTTGTCCTTTGTGCTTGCTTCGTGGGGCTCTCCTGAGGGCTTTTTGTACAATGGAGGCTGTTTGAGGGAATGTTTCCTGGTTGGGGTGCACAGGAGGGCTAACGTGGATGTCCTCATGGACACCTCTGGGCAAACACTGGTTGCCTGCCGTTGCAGGGGCCTGAACTCTGACTTGGCTGGTCCCTCGGTTCTGGCGAAACGCCAAACACATGGATATCTTCACAACAGCAAACTTATTGGTCCGCCAGCCTTGCGCTCTCCTGACAAGTGAGCGTTCGCATCTCCTTGCATTGCTAGCGATGCCAGAAGGCTTTGGTCTCCATTGAAACCAGCTCCATTTCCATCTCCCTGTGTTAGCACTATTAACATTTAAAACCAGAGCCTGCCAGAGCATTTACAGCTTTAAAAATCAATAGAAAAATAACACTGCATGGCTGAAAGCAAATTAATTCTCCTTGTTTTTCCCTGCAAGTATGTAGGGCGAAATACATGCCTGGCTAGCTCTGGTGTGAAAAGCATTCGAAGGTAAAGGAACAGGTGGTGTTGTCTTAAGGTCAGCAGGGGCTGGAACAAGTCGGTAGTTTTAGAAATATGATGGAGGCAGCAACTTGGACCTCGGATATGGTTTTTGCACATCAACTGGGAACAATGTCAGATCCTGGGGATGCCTTTTTTTTTAAATACCTGCAAGGCAATGGGCTCTGATTGCAGTATTTGCTTTGCCCATACATTCTTCAGAGGGCTTCCTGGGATAAGACAGATGGGATCTAATAGCTAAATAAATAGCTCAAGAACAGGGCAGTGTTTCTATAACAATGTATTGTCACCTTCTGGATTATGCTAGGAAAAGACATCGCCATTCTTCCATGAAGTTCAGACTGTTCCCAGTCGGCTGCGTGTGCTGAAAGATGGTCTGCAGGGCTCTGTATCCTACGTAGTTTGGTTTTTCTGTCCTTTACTGGGGCAGTTCCCTCCACCTGCTGATCTCAGATAGGAATTTATGGATCGATCTCTAATTTGCCCAGAAGAGTTTCATTTACCCCAAATCCAGCACAGTACGGAGTACTTCATACATAGTTGCCTGCTGCCTGTGCTACCCGGTTTGCAAAAGGGGGCTCTTTCCTCTTCCCAGCCCCCCAGGTTATGAAGCATTTGCCACAGACATGGTAAAACCTGTCCTGCGCTGCATCATTTTCATAGGAGCAGCGTCTTTTTGTTCCCATTCAACACGATAGCAGATAATCCTTAATGTGTGCCTTATACCCTTGCTACTGCCTCCTCCATCACCGGTTCTGGCAGAGCTGCTGTTTTGTGGGTAGTGAGACTGGCACCTCGGAGAGAGCCCCTAAAACTCTCCCATGGGGAGAAGGCAGGCTCTTCCTTTAAGTGCTTGCCAGTCGTTAAGTGCAGTAGTAGCGGGGACTAGAAATGGGTGAGCCATGGTGGTTTAGCTTGGTCAAGTGCCCAAGTGTTCAGTGGTTTATCCAAACCCACTGGAGACGGGCTGGACCGTCCTGGGCATAGGCCTGGAGCAAGATTGCTAGCACTCCCAGGGTTAGAAGCACTGTTCTCTCTCCAGTCCTGGCCAGAATTGGGGACCTGATAAAGCCCAAAGTTGGGGGGGGGGGGG